AACGTGTGTTATTGGGTAGTGGTTATTTTTTTCTTTTCAGTTATATTTTTGTTCTGTTTTTTATGAGCTGGGATCGGAGGCTAGGTCTGTCACGCGAGGATGTATAAGGGAAGTTGAACCATTGCGAGGTTGAATGAAAACTTCCTTTTTTATGAGGCGGGGATGGGAGAAGCGATGGGTGAGACCGTGGGAGTAGAGATAGTACATGGGGTGGGGTGAGGAAGGAGGTCGAACCATCACCATGACTGCAAATTCCCTTTAGTAGTAGAGATTTTAGTCAAAAATTAAAAATTGCCTAACAATTCAGACGGACGGAGCACCACTAGTTAGATCAAAAACCAAATCTGAACAAAAAGAACACATAAAATGAAAAAGACAGAATAAACTGCTACTCTCTCTGATCCAACATAGACGCACGACACTTATTTTGAATTGGAGGGAGCAGTCATCATGGTCTTCACAAAATGGAAAAGAGAAACGGTGGATTAAACTCCAGTTTACCAACTGCTTCCAAACCCGACACCTAGGTAGCCAGATTGGCAGCCAGCTCCTTGAGGAGAGAGGGGCAGCTCCTCATCAGATGCTCAAAGCCATCGCTGGCCGTGAGTGCTTTGAAATTGCCGAGAGACGCAAGGAACTTGAAGCATGCGTCCTTGAGCGCCCCACAGCCATGCTGCTCGGCCAGCGCCCATATGGTCGCCACCGTGCTCGTGTCGATGTAGCTGCGCAGCGTGTCCTCACACATCAACTTCAGCCTCCCCAGGTTGAATCTGTCCGCCACCACAAGCAAATGCTGAGCCATCACCGCCGCGTCTCCCGCGTCTATATGCGGCAACGAGTCGGTGTAAACAAAGTGCAGCATTGCCTTGAACACTTTAGCTTCGATGCCGTCCAACCGGACGCTGGCGTCCGTCTTCTCCTTCATCGTACCGAGGAGCACGGCCTTGAAGACCGAGGACCGAGCTGCGAGCATGCACCTGTGGGCGGGGAACTTCTCGTCCCCAACCTCGAACGTGACATCCGCCCCGTCCCCGGAGGAGAGGAGCTGGCCTAGATGCTGGAGCACGTCAGGCGGTGGCACGACGACGGGGGCCGGGATGGTTTCCGTGAAGATCTCCTTTGCCATGGTAATGACACACCTGACAGTGAAGACGTCATCCTTCAGGCAATCAGCTGATTCCTCCAGTTCTTTTTTCTTGATGAACTGCCAGAAACCATACGATCCACTTTGTTTGGAGAAGGTGCATGTGTTGCTGGCTTTGCTGTACGCTGACACGGGGTTCCCATCCTGGTCGAGCAAACTGATCTCGAACTGCACGTTGATTGTGTTGACGTCGGCGGGGTCGAGGCAGAGGTAGATTGATATCCAGTCAGGGTAGCCGGAGTAGCCGTCGGGGTAGTACTGGAGACGCCAGAGACGGCCTCCGATAGAGAACAACTCGGACGTAATGCAGGAACCGTTGCCGAGCCCCTTGGCCCCGGAGTAGCCGTCTATCTTGAGATCGTGCGAGCCGGAGACCGGCACTGCCCGCGCGACAATGGCCGACGCGCTCCGTGTTGGCTGCTTGCCGCCGCTGGATGACGACGAAGAAGAGTTGGCCATGACAAACCGAGTACCTAATTGCGACGAGGGTGGCGTGGTGGGGTGGGGCGGTCTCCTGGAGAAGCGAGATCGATTGATCTTGGCAGATCGGCCTAGAGATTTATGTAGGGAAAGCGAGCCCAGAAGCGGCCGGATGAGAATGAATCCGAGGAGCCACGCACCAGTGGCGCGTGCTGCTGCCACCCAATACTAATCAGTCAGAGTAATGAAGAAAAAGAGGATGAGGCCAGCGGGCGTGCCTCGATCGCGTTATCGATGAGGTAGTAACTGCGTGGCCTGCCGCTTCTTCGTTTTCCCTCCCTGTCAGACCTCAAGGCGGGAGCGACTAGAAAGGCAAATTTTCATGGAAAGTAGGCCGTAGCTACCACGATCCGTGGGAGATCAAATTGTCATCCATCTCTACTCCATATAGTGTAATCAAATTCGTGGGAGTACCACTGAAACTTTGCTCACATATTCAAATACTCCAGATTACAAAGTACTATAGTACTGTATAGAAACTTACACAAGGTACAGATTTGCCACTTCAGTCAAGTGACCGTCAGTTGACCATCCAGTGATTGTTGAAAAGACGTTTTTTCTAGGACGCCGATAACTGCCACATGTGTGGGCGTTCATGAATCTGCCCACACGTTCTGTGTGGTGCCTAAGAGGACCAGCCCACACGTCTGTGTGTGGGCAAAACAACTAGCGCCCACACGCCTCTTTTTTTCTTTCCCGGTCCCTCTTACACGCGTGCGTGTGGCTGAAATAGATAACGCCCACACACCCGGTACGTCAGGCCTCGTATCTCGTGGTCCCGCATGCCCCACGTGACACTTTACTGCGCGCCCCGCAGTTGCCATGGACCGGACCCTCGTCCATGTTCGTTTAAGTGCAGTTGCCATGTTGCTGAACTACAGTTGCCATGTCGGACAACTACAGTTGCCATGTTTGCTCAACTGCAGTTGCCATTTTTTGGACAACTACAGCTATTGCCATATGTGGTCTGGTCTACTGCAGTTGCCATGATTTCAAAACTTTAGGAGTTGCCATCTACTAACACTAGGCAGTTGCCATGTAGCGCTACAAGAAAAGGCATGGCAAAAAACATGTTCGGGTAAAAAAAAGAGTTGTCATGTGCTCAGAAGCACGCTAGGGTAGTTGTCATTTAAAAAGAAAGAGTTGCCATCTGCTTACGTGCACGCTAGGGCAGTTTGCCATGTATCATGCAAAACATATGGCAACTGACATGTTCGGGTAAAAAAAAGAGAGAGTTGCCATCTGCTTGCAATCACACTAGGGCAGTTGCCATGTACACTGCAAAACGCATGGCAACTGGCAGCTTGGGTGTGGGAGAGGAGGCGGGCGTGTGGGCGAGATGGCAAACGCCCACACACCAGCCCTTGTGCGTGACTGAAAACTGGTATGTGGGCGAACTGCTAAACGCCCACACACCGGCGCTCCGTGTGGTAAAACGGATGTGTGGGCGACCTTTCTTACACACCACACACGCGAGTTGTTCTACGTGGCATACAAAATCAGCTAATTCGTGCCAAGATTCGTGCAAAAGTTATTGGACGGTGATGGAGGCGTGTGGGTGAGTTGTCTAACGCCCACACATGTGGGCATTAACATTTCCGTTTTTCTATAGGTGATCTACCATGCACATTAACATGAAATCCACAGTAACATGTCATGTACATGACCTTCAAAACCACACAAGCCGAAAACTTTTGATACTAAAAAAAATAACTAGCAGGCACAAACAGATGGTCCAACCAGGATCCAAACGTAACACTTGCAGAAGATTCCCCAATCAGCAAAGAAAAGAAGAAACCTCTTATGCAAGATAAACATACTCCCTCCGTGTCATAATATAAAAGGGTTTGAGGGAGTAGTAGATTAACGCACATGCATTTGATCATCATTGCCTAGCTTATTAAAGCTAATAAGATGGTGACAGCACAACTTGATAACAAGATCACAGCATCACAAAGACACAGATGAGTCCATAACATAGATGAACCCCAGATTAATTACATAGATAGATAAATAGACCGACGATACAAAGCAAGCACAGCATTGGTGAACCGGCCAGGCCTAGTAAAGCACAGCATTGGTGAACCGGCCAGGCCTAGTAAATCCTCGATGATATCATTTGGATTTGAGAACAGATTCAAATTGCTCTTGCAGAAGCCTCTGGGTAGCCTTGGCATTCTCGAGCCTAGGCAAAACCCTTTCGACCACGAACTTCTCGTGCTTTGCCTTCTCCTCCTCATAAAAGGCTGCAAACTCGGCTTCCGAGACCGGTTCATCATCATCATCGGAACTGTCCACCTCGGAGTCTGCTCCTGCAACTTCGATAGCCTGCATTGTAGTCACTGGAACGGCAAGGGCAATATCTTCCTCGCCGTGCCCGTCAGTCGGCACCTTCCTTTTGCTGGAGCAGATCTTCAGGCTGGTCATAGTGGGGAGTAACTTAGACTAGTAACATACATATGTTACTAGTCTATGTTACTACCTTCATAGTGGGTAGTGTCATAGGTGTGGTAACATAGTTGCCTTCATTTATTACTTTGTAGACTCATTATGCATTGGAAACCGCTATGTGATGGTAACATATTATGTTACTCTATTTACCTCTCTCCTCATTAACTACTTGCCACATCATCATTTTTGCTTATGTGGCATCTATGTTACTACCTATGTTACTCCCACTATGACCAGCCTCAGCGAACACTCATTCTCCCCTGTGACGTCCTTCATGCTCTGGTTGGTGCACTGCTTGAACTGAAACTCCTTGCCGGCGAAAGCCACGTGCGCCGCAATCGCCGTGCTTGTGGTGGTGCACGGCTTCAGCGATAAGCCTCCCATGTTCTTGGTCTTGCTGCCGCCTCCGTGGCTGCACGGCTTCAGGGCAGACGCGCCGCTACCGGCGTGACCCACCAGGGCATCCTCCTTCTTCTCATCTGCGACACGTCTGGCACCGCCGCACGGCTTCAGCGAGAAAGTGTGACGCCCCGAGACCGATGCTCGAGAAGACTTCCATGTGTTCCGGGTTTCGCCGTGTGTTTCATTTGTGCCTGCCCTTTTATTTGTGCATTGCATCATGTCATCATGTCATCATGTCATAAGTCTTTTTGCATCTCAACTAAATAAATGGCATGGATCTTTGATCCATTTAAACCGAGGGAATTCACAGGACGATTCTCTTTACAACATATTCTCTCGATATTTAGAGAGCTATATTAAATATTCTAATAATTTGGATTCACCCATAAACACACTTGCAAAATAATTCCGTGTCTTTTCTGCTTCAAGTTTGGTCTCCAAACTTTGCCCTAAATTCTTTCTTCACTTTCCGGAGCTTTACCAAAAATCTCAACATTTTTGGACACTCCTAAAACCTCGTCCTAGTTCAAACCCATTTGAATTAAATTCAAATGAGTTTGAATTCTTATCATTCGATCTTGCCACTTCTAATTTTCTCGGACCAAAAATATTGTTGTGAGTCCAAGAAAATTTACCGCTTGTCCAAATTCTTCTTCAACCTTCTCCTCTGTCCTTTTTCCTTTCTTTTAGTTCTCTGTTTTAAAAAAATCAAAGGAGTGGGGGAGAGAGAGAGTAGCCCAGATGGCCACTTGGGCCTTAGTCCAGGCCGGCCCGCTTCCCAGTCCCGCTCTCTAACCCTAGTACCGCAACCCGATCCCCATCTCCCATCTCTCCCTCCTCTCGCTAACCTCGCGCCGCCAGGAGAGGATGCACGCGCCCGATGCCCGCATCCCGATCCCCATCTCCCTCTCGATCCCTAGGGCCGCCCCCACTTCCCTCGTTCCTCTCCTCGATCTCCCTCGAACCCCTCCTATGGCGCTGCCCTTGCCCCGAGCTCGCCACTGCTGCGCTACTTTGCCATGCTCCAGCGCCGCACCGTTGCATCCTTGCTGCACGCCGCGCCCCTGCCTCCTCGACCTTCCCGGAGCACCAGTTGACGCCGGCGCCCGCCTTCCTCCGCCCCACGGTCCTGTCCTCCAACCGCGCCAAGCCCCGCCACTAGCCTGCTACCTCACCTCCCCAACCCGAGCTGGCCCAGATCCGGCCATCTTCAACACCTTGGGTCGCTGGCCATGGATGCCTCTGCTCCATCGCCGGACGGCTGCTTCTCCGCGCGCCTCTGTTCGTCGTCGTTGTCACCGTGAGCCCGCGTTGACTTCCCCTGCTCCACCACCATCAGCGCCCGGCAGCACCTCCTCTGTCCGTGACTCGTGTTACTGCTGCTCGTCTTGCCGCTGCCATGGCCTCTCACTTGTAGCCCCTCGCCAAGCATGCTACGTGATGCTGCCCCTTTTGTCGTTGCCAAGGCCACTGAATCCAGGGACACAAGACCGCCTCGGTGGATTCCTTTCGACAAGTACCACGACGACCGTCGAGACCGCCAAGTTCCACTACCGATGAACGTTTTGGAATCGCCAAGTCAGACTACAACGCGAAGACCATGTACAACTACTGACACCCGTGGATTTCACCAAGTACCTATACCGACGACCGAGACCCTGTTTTCGACAAGTTCGCGAGTACGACCACTTCCCACGACGACCTTGTACTACTACCGTTGACGAAGACATGTGCACCGCAAGCATCAAGTTCAACTACCGTCGACCGCGAAGGGTTTGGAGTCATCAAGTACCTCTCCGAAATGAACGTGAATGACTACCGTCGCAAGAACGGGACTGGAAAGTCCGAAGACCCCAAGTACCACGACATCGATGAGATGAACATCTACGGAAAATCATGCAACTAAGAACGTGAACGACTACCGCCGCCAAGATCACGAGTACCTCTACCGTCGTCATGTACCCCTACTTCGTCTACGAACGTCCCGAGAACGTCTACGTCCTCTACTTGGCACCGATCGAGAACCATCCTGTTTGCACACTTTGAAGGTATAACCGCCGAGACGACCTTCCGAGAATGAATGCATGTTGTATGAGATGCTCATGTTCGAACCGTGTCCAAGTTGT